ATGCAGTCAGCTGCCCCTACTGCGGGTTTAACCCTTACTAAAATAGAACAGCCAGTCAACAACAATCAATCAACCTGATTAACTAAACAAAAGGCGAAAAGGGGTGCAATTGTCTTGCAATAGTCACTATCTTATCTGAGAATTTCTCGGACTGAATGGTCACAAGGAAAAGCCTCTGCTGCTTCTGACAGCAGTACCCGTCACAAGTTGAAAGTCACTCAAAGCTGGCGAAAGCAGGTGATGAGTAGGATTGCCTTCAAAGAAAAAGGAGACTCTCTCTGCAGCAAGTTTTTGGCCGAGTTGATCATTCAAGCTCCAATGAGTATTGAGAAAAAGGAGGGGAGGTCTGTCTCTGTAGCATCAAGAGGGAACTGTTTTCTTGGAAGACACACTGATCATCATGAACTTTCCATGGCATCTCTTTAGCTTTCAGGAAACGACGGCTCTGGTCCCTGAGGTGACGGAGTACTGACTACTCCAAGCCAGGTAACTATGACATCAAACACTAACCCCTCTTTTGACTTCTCACTACACCCCGTTCCAGAAATATCCATCTGTCGTTTGCGTGTATTCTCTCCATACTCCCCCTTCCGAGGCGGCGTCCTTGATCACAATACCGAGAATGACCCGTCAAAAAGAAAAGGGACTCGCCTTGGTTCCGAAGAAAACGACATGGAGAATGCTCCATAGAGAGTGCTGCCCGATGGCACGCGCGAGTGTTGTCGTCAGCTAAAAGAACGAGAGTTGGGGTCGTTCTCCAACGTTCATTTTGACGTCAGCTCCGACTCTCCCACGTGACACGCACACACAGTTTTTCTCCTCTCTCTCTGTTGACCTTCTCTCGACACCCTCAACTCGTCCCTTTTTGCTCAGTCCCGTTTTCGTCGACCACGCTCTCGCTCTCCAGGGCACGCCACCTGTCGCACGTGTGTCCGTGCAACTGCCCTTGCCTCAGCCTCCCCGCTTCGGGTTCAGTCCCGATCACCCTCTCTCTCTCGCGTCTTCTCCGACCTGTCTTTTCCCCCTGCTCTGTCTTTTACCAGTCCCGCGGCCTCTGGGCGTCAGCTGTCGAGAGCTGGCCTCAGGTCCCTCTTCCACCGGTTTCGCGACTCGATGGTGCCTCTGGATCTCGCCTGGTCTGATCCAGGACCTGAGGTCCGTCTCCCGGTCCTCCGCCTCGCTCATCTCGCTCTCCCCACCTGAGTCCCGCTCCAGGTGGGCCTGCTCCCAGTCCGTCGTGTCCATCGAGGTCTCGTTCTCGTATCCTTGCATTTTCGCTGTCACGCCGTCCCTCGTGCAGCGCCTCTCCACACGGTCGTTCATCTCCGTGATAGCATCATGTAGCTTTCCATCAGTCCGCATCTCCTCCTCTTTTCCTCCCTCCACGTTGATCCTCAGTCTTAGCTCATCTCCCCCGTCGTAGTTGAGTATAGCCATAATCCAGGGCCCCTCCCCGGACATAGGCTTCCACCGAATCTGGTGGTACCAATAGCAGGGTCTATACCCGTGCAAAGCCATAGCCGCTCTTCCTCAATAGCCAGCACCCGTTCGGTAAACAGCGCAGCACAGAGCCGTCAACTTCCAATAGCANGGTCTATACCCGTGCAAAGCCATAGCCGCTCTTCCTCAATAGCCAGCACCCGTTCGGTAAACAGCGCAGCACAGAGCCGTCAACTTCCAATAGCACGCCTCTCTCCACCAGAGCCCGCGGTACAGACTGCGTACTACCAGGCTGCCGGCCGCAGACGATATCCTGTCTCCCTCTTCCTCTTATAGGTTTGCCTTCCTACAGTCTGAATGAGGTATTCCGATTAGTCCCTCTCGGATTTTACCGGATTCATTAATTTTAAAATAAAGCAATAAATAATATAGGACAATAAACAAAAAAAACTAAATGATTTTCAAAAAGTAACACTCGAGCTTGAAACTCATCGGTCGATCATGAACCAGCCTTGCACTTGTCGGTTTCAAACCCTCGTGATAAAACAGCAGACGTGGCACTTCGGTCCCATAACGGGATCCCGACCACCCGGGTTTTCACCTTAAAAGAGAGCACTGTGCTATCTCCGTTGGGTGCCCGTATCCGATGGAAAGGAGGGGGCGTATGACCCCTTTATAGGAGGTGATACGCTTCCTACCAATGTGGCCGCGGGTCGCCCTCTTTTTCTGGGGCCATGCCGCGCGGCGCTTTGCCAAGTGTGATAGCTGCGGAATAGCAACGAAAAGTCAGGAATAGTAGCGAAAAGTCGGTCTACCTGGGCCACTAAATTAGACGGGTTCGAATTCGAACCGTTGGTTTTCCCTCGAAGTGACCGAAAACGAAAGGGGAAGCCGCGTCCCAAAACCAATAAAGCAATAACAATAATAATGATAATAATAATCATAGAAAGAAAAGGGTGGCGATTCAAATCCCCCCCCCCCCGCGCTGCTGCTCCGCCTAAGTAGCTGTACAAGTCCACGCAGACCCCGTTGTACCTGGCCTCCAATACAGCTACCAGGGCCCTACTGCGCGGAACTTAGATGCGCAGGGCCGATACATGTGATATTTGAAGGGTTGGGCCTGCCTGAACCGCAATACCACCGCCTGGACTCGAAACCCGAACCGTTGGCCTCCCTACAAAGTGACAGGACCCTAACAAATGG